ATACTATAGTCATGTAGCTGGCAGAGAGTTGGCGTGCACCACAAGTCATGTCTATCGGAAATAATAAGAATAAAAATAATAATACCCGAGGGACAAAGGTGGTTGGAGAGAGGGGGAAAGAGGCGGTAACTTCTCTTTCTTCCCATATCTTCCTCCCATGCAAGTCGCCAGCTGTACCACAGGCCGTTGACGTCCACATGCGAGCCTAAGAGTAACGCTGCAAATGTAAAGCGGGCACAGCGCACGTACCGGATTCTGGTTTATATTGGTTAATAGCAAGTAAGTATAGCAAAAACATGCCATGTTTTTCTTACAAAAAATTGTTTCGACATTGATCTCTAGCAAGGCTAGCAACGTGTGGTGCCCGACTCCGGCCCTGACAAGGTCGCTGACCTGCCCGACCCAAACCCGACTCGGGAGGCGCATGACAGCCCTCTCACGTTACGTTCCAGAGCCACCGCGCTGCTGCTGGAAGCTGAGCCGGAGGAGCCGGAGGAGCTGGGCCGGAGAAGGTGGTGGCACCGTGTGAAAGTGCGAGGTGCCACCGGCGTGCCAACGGCTTGCCATCGATCAGCACACTTCGTTCCCTTCTTTCCTCAAAAAAATAAAAAAATTACTTTAGAAAGAAAAGTGGAGACTGACGGGACTACCAACATTTTTTGTAAATGATTTTTAACATGAGGACCAGCATTTTTTACAAGTGGCATTTGCCCCGCACCCAGCAAGAAGTCGTTGCACCGAGCTCAATAACGCCCTCCTGACATCATCCCGATGATCGACCGCCCCGGTTGACACGACGTGTCGTCCGAGTGACGTCAGCGCGTCGCAACGATGCACTTGCACAAGCCGCACGCATCGCATGGTCACGTGCATGACGGGGGCTTGCACTCCAACAACAACAACCACCACCAACTGGGGGAACAAATGCAATACAGCGCCAAAGCCCCGTTCTGTGACGAGGACCCGACGCGACCAACTGCACTAGTGGCCCTTGTGGCGCTCCAGCGTTTAAATCACCGACAACACA